AGACTAGAGAAGAGTGGGCTTAGATTCAACCTTTCTTACAGTAAGCTAGGCCAAAAAATTCAGCAATCCTTACCGGGATTGATGTATGCGGATGATATTGTACTAATGGCTAACAACAGGACAGAGTTGCAGGAATTAATGAGCATCTGTGGTAGGGAAGGAGAGGAATTAGGTTTAGAATTCAGTAGCGAAAAATCGGCAGTCATGATTTTTAACGAGGATGAAGTTGAGAGGCTGAAGATACAGAATATTACAGTTGAGAGAGCTAGTAAATACAAGTATCTAGGAGTATGGATATGTGATGGTGCAGAATATCTCAGAGACCATGAAAAGTATATAATAGGTAAGGGCAACAGAAATGCAGCTGTAATGAAAAATAGAGCACTTTGGAATTACAACAGGTACGAGGTGGTGAGAGAGATTTGGAAAGGGGTCATGGTGCCTGGCTTGACTTTTGGAAACGCAGTGCTATGCATGAAATCCGAAGTGCATGCGAGACTAGAAATAAAACAGCGCGGAGTAGGTAGACTGGCTTTGGGGGCACATTGCAAAACGCCAAACCAGGGAGTACAAGGAGACATGGGATGGGCATCATTTGAGAGCAGGGAAGCGGTGAGCAAGGTTGAGGATAGGTTGAGGATAGGTTGAGGATAGGTTGAGGCAAATGGACGGGGAGCAATGGGCACGAAAGGTTTTCAGCTATTTATACATGAGGAGTGTAGACACAAAGTGGAGACAGCGCACTAGGAAATTAAGAGGAAAGTTTTTGGGCTATAGCGAAGATACGGAAGAGCAAGTCTCAGTTAAGAAGAAAGTTAAGGCCACAGAAAGAGATCGGTGGCTAGAGGGAATGCAGACAAAGACGGCTCTGGAAAGCTATAGATTAAACAAAAGAGTTATTGCCAAAGAAAGCATTTATGACAATTCTAGGGGAAGCTCATTGCTGTTTGAGGCGAGGACGGGTGTTCTGCGAACCAGAACATACAGAGTGAAGTACCAGGAAATTGATACAGTGTGCACTGCTTGTGGAGAGGAGGACGAGACGGCTGAGCACTTGATACTCTACTGTAAAGGGCTTCACCCTATGCCTACCGAAGACAACATAGATTTAATAAAGTCATTGGGTTTTAGAGACAGCGAAGGGAGAGTGGATTTCAAGACTGTAGAGATTACCAAGCAAAGATTAAGTGAATGGTGGCAGAAATCGAGAGAAAACTAGGTATTTTCTTATTCACTGATGGCAAGGGGGTTTCGTAGCCTCACTTTCTTTGCACTGCGGAGTGAATATAGATTTCACATTTAAATATTCTAAGCTTAAATGGTAAAACAAAATGGCTAGGTGGCGCAAGCTACCGCCCGATCCAAAGGGCTCAGCCGTATTCATCCATCCATCCATCCATCCATCCACGCGTTTTCGTCTGCTACTGCTCCGCGACTGCTTGTGAGTCCCGACTCCTCTCGAGGTTCAGCATGGTTTTTGGTTAATTTTTGCCCTTACGCCCGTAAAAATTACAATTTGAGCATGAAAAGCGCTACGACGGTTTTCGCATACGTTTTGTATTATTGTAAAATGCTGCTGCCTTAGCTGTGCTGACAGCGCGAAGCGTTTCGAACAACCCAAATTCGTCGGCGCCACAATCCGGTGGCTACAATCAGGGCGAGTTTGTACATACTGTAATAGTATATGTGCCGATGACTTAGCAACTGCAGCAGAAACAATTTGAAAGTCGTCTGCTACTGTCAGAAAAAGCGCCACGAACATCCGTAAGCTCAGTAGGCCAGATGCAACGGCCATGTACGATCGCTATGGCAACGACAACAACGCGTCGTCAATGATGATGATAGCGAGTATTAATGCGGAGCGCGCGCCCTCTAACAGGCGCCACACAAAGGGACCCCCTTCCGGAGCGGAGTTCCAGAACTGAGTTGGTTCTATACTCCGTTTCATAAGTAGCGTGCAACGTTGTCAAAGCTACTGGCGCGAGCGTGTCGCTTCATTTATGGTTTTGTTTGCGCGAGAACGCGTGCAAATAATCAACGAGATCAATCCCCATGCTCGCGCTAAAAGCTTTGACAGCGCTGCACGCTAAGTATGAAACAGGGTATAATAACGTTGGTGGAATCTTCTTTTATTTATACAGCTTTCCATAAAAGCGTTTGAGGGCGCGTTCATTGCTGTGTTTGTGTGTTATGCACGCGCACTTCCTTCATGGCCATAATTGCGAGCGCTGGCTGGACTGTGATTTAACACGTGTTTACTGTGATTTTTTGTAAACAGTGGAAACGTCTATTCTTTCAACATTGCGTTTTCGTGAGTCCGAGAACATTCTCGTCTGATCGAGTTCCGAATGTTCTAGTCGCCGAACCTTCTAGGTTGATTGTTCCCGAAGCCAACGCGCGTACATAAGGGGCTCCGCATGGTGATCTGCAGTCAGTCTCGCCCCAGCGTACGATCCTGCTGTTATGCCGCCATCGACGCCCGCGACGCTCTAGTGTTATCTTCTGTTTACTTTTGTTTTTGGGCACAGGTTCACCCCATTAAACGTTTAGTTTTCTTCGGTTATCATAACCTCATTCATTGTCATTCGTGACATTTTGATGGAGGTGCTGGGTACTGCACTCCTTGCCCGTTAAGCGTACCCTCCGAAGACATCCCGGCGAAGCGACGTGCTCAGCCCCAAAAGGCTAGCCTTCGCCGAAGACGCCGAAGCCCGAAGGAGCCGTCGCACCAGAGGTCAGTCCCCCGAATCGGGTCTCTTGCCCGAGAACCGGAGGAAGAAGATACCGACGATGACCACCCCGCCCGTTGTCGTCCTGCCCGTTGCCCCGCAGACACCTGCTCCCTTTCTCGGCAAGACCTATTCGTGACAATATGGTTTCCTGTCGAACTATATAGGCCTCTTTTTTTGTTAATTGAGGCTATTATTTTATGCATGGTTTGCACTGCCGTCTATCGCCATAATTATTTTGCTACTCGCCTTTCGGGACCTCACCTGCCACACAACTGGGGCTAGCAGATCATCACAATGAAAGCTATTCAAAGTTCTAACTGACCTTCCCTTTTCAATTGGGTGTAAGCTGTATAGTGTTCAAACCAAGCTTTAAATGAAACATGCTGACGACATTTGCAAGTGCTTTCATGTTGAGGTCTTTACTGTGATAACCGATGCATGTTCAAAGTACGTTTCGATCTCTATGGTGGGATGCGCTATCAAAAATGGATGAACCTTTAACTCTTGATCTGAACCTGTCCTATGTAGACCTTCGCAGCTTCAGAAAAGAAAAAAAAATGAAGTCTGCAGTTTTTAAACGCCACAAAGTTTTTTGTACCACATACAGATGTAGTGATTATTACTGCGATAACCGTTCGAAATACTCACCTCGAGGCCATGACAAACCCTTGAGAGGGAATCGCTCAGCCGACATTCTTCTTGCTCCGGGTCAAAGACGTGGCCCCCCGGACACAGGCTCAAATAAGGTACCCCTGCCAGGCACAGCACATAGGACGTTGAGCAGCTATATCGTCGGCTGAAGGAAGCGAAACCGTTACTCGAGGTACATGTGAAGATGGTGGCAGAGAGTTCACTGGCCTGTAACAAGCAAAGTAGGCAAGCTATCATTCGCTGGTCACGCGCTGGACACCGCCATCCAACAATGGCGGTGCCGGTGGTGCCGGCTCTAATCATGACGCTTCCGCCTACTGCTGTCGTCTTGCTGTCCCACTGCCCACCCTGTTGACCCTGTCAACGCGGATTGGATTATATTGGATCGTGTTGGCCACCTCCTTTCTAACGGGTGAACATAGTCACGGCCGGACTCTGTTCACCCAGTCAGACCGTGACAGAGTAAATGCGCTCTGCTCCAGCATCTCCAGTACTTCTTGCTTTGGCACTGTACTGTTATATACTCTGTTTCACCTTGTGTTGTACCGCAGGAAAGGCTACAAGCGTGAGCTCTTTGTTCTAGGGCACATCTCGGCGGCACAAGCTCTCGTGCACCAAGGGCAGCTGCCAACGCTATGAGCTCGCGCTTCTAGCCTTCGCTGCGGTACAACATAAGGTGAAACGAAGTATAGAAAGGCTGTTAATGATGGCGAAGGCCATCACCAAGACCTACCCTTCCTGGATAGTCTAGCGGTTATTCTCATTTTATACTTTATTTCCTTCTTTTTTTTCCACGTATATGTTCAAGCGCGCGCTGAAAGTCTCTTGGTGCAATCGGTGATCCTCTCGGCTCTGCTATGCTCGTGGACGAATTTCTGTGGCATTTCAGAAGAAGTAAAGAGCACCCACGCGCAGCTCTTACCGGTGCTTAAGGTGCCCGAGTGTCCATGCGCCCATGGCTTTGACTGCAGAGCCACAAAAAGTTGCACTTTTTCCCCAAGGGCGCAGCCATCTTGAATATCGTCACTTCTGGTATGCGATAAAACATCCTTTTGATCTCTTCATGCACCTTGAAGGCGTTTACGAAAAATGCGTGATTGTCAGACATCCTTGTTTTGCTTCACCTATATTTTCCCGCATATAACAGGTTGAATTCATTTATTATTCTTTCGTCCCGCATACCAGATACAGAACCCACGTGGCTGAAAACGGCAGGAAAAAGAAAACGTGTTGCCGCCGGCGTGTCTCTGCTTGTGCGGGAAAGTACGTGCAATTTCAAGCTTGCACACGCTGCACATGCTTGCCCGCATGTGCAGACATGAGCAAGCATACGCTTTTGGAAAGACAATGATGGCGATGTTCATAAGCCTCTGATCTCAAAAATGCATCGCTTATTTTTACTCCGTCGGTCCTGGCGTGAATATTCGCTTGGGGGTCCATACTCACACTTAAATCCACCTTGAAAATTTAACAGACCACAGTCAAGCACAGCACCGACATTATGTGTACGCTCAAAGTTCAGCGAGGAAACGGAAACTGCACGGGACGCACGCGCAGCACGAGTCCGCTACTTTCGATCAGCATGAAGAGCGTGGCCAACGTGCCGTTCTTCTGTCAATGCCTGCGAGTGCTGCGATAATTATATCGTCCTCTCTGGCCTACGCGACCCTCATGTTGACCATTCACTTCATTGCCAATACGATTTTCCCGTGGTGCGCGTACTCGTCGCGCTGCTTCAAGTTCGACCACGAACTGCGGGCTAGCATCGATTCCAGCGTGGACCCGTGTGACAACTTTTACGGTCATGTCTGTGGACGTTGGACGAACGTGCACCCAACAGAAGGCAGCCAGCTACAGTTTCTGCAAAAGCGAACATTACTCTGGCTTCTAGAGGCCATTGAGAAGACCGTTCCCTCGCCACCAAGCTCCGCAGTCGACAAAATCATCGCGGGATACCAGAAGTGTCTCGCCGTTTTCCGAAATGGTAACGAGAAATCTGAAGCCATTCGTAGAATGTTTGAACCTTATTCTTACGAGTGGCCATCCCTCTCCTTGTCCACAAGTTTCGACTTTCTCGACTTTACGGTCGGACTTGCCCTCGACTATGGAATCCACGTCGTCATCGGACTGGAAAGCACGCCGTACCTGCAGACCGATCAAGGTTACTCGCTCTACGTACATGGACTTAATAACATCACGGACGCCAATATCGGGGGCTGGAGTGACATGACAAATTGCATCCGATCATTCAGCCCGAAATCAAATGTCGACGTCGGAAAGGTAATTGAATTGCTTGAACTCGGCCGTAGAAACATTAGATTTCTGTTTCTTGGGACACTTGTGTCATCCTTGGCAGCGAACGATCAGTCGTATCCGAAGTACATCACGTTGCAAGATTTCGCAAATAACAAGAATCCGTCTCTCTCGGTTGCGAATTGGGTTCGAGTAATTAACAAACATTTGCCGACTTCCAATCACGTCAACCCTGATTCTCCAATCTTAACGACATCCGATTTTTCGAGTCGTCTTCTTACCCATCTGGCGCTGTTCTACGCTAACAAAATGGAGGAGCTCATGCTGTACCTTGGCTGGAAAGTGATCAATATCCTTGCCCACGCGTTTTCTTTTCACTGTGCCAGGATAGCATCAGGCTACAGTGACACTTTTCAAACTGCTTTTCAATGCCTTTCTACTGTAAACTCCCTTGCACCGTTCGCTGTATCCCAGTTGCTTTATCAAGGCTTAGTCACGCCAGAAGATTCGAAATTCTCGAAGACTATTGACGACACCATACGGAAAGAAACCCAGAGCTCTTTTCAGAGGCTCTCATGGATGGATGCACAGACGTTACTTGCGGCCACCGACCGTTTGACAAAAATCACAGGCATTCACGGCTCACCGTCCCATCTACTCAACATGACTGCTTTGAATGCCTACTACGACTACTTACCTTTGTTCGAAAAGCCCTTCGTCGAAGATCTATTAGGAGCCCTATCGGAAAAGTTCAACATGCGCAAACGGCTTTTCGGCTCTCAACTCACAGTGAGTCGAGAGGACATGGAGGCATCGATGATTGAGGTAAACGCCTTTTACGCGGCCATGTTCCACACAATTGTCATCAAAACTGGCCTCATTCAGCCTCCTCTGATTGACCTCAGTCTTCCTCACGTGGTCAGCTACGGAGGCTTGGGTCGGATGATCGGCCATGAACTGTCACACGCATTCGACCCGCAACGATATAATTTCAGTTATCGTGGTGGCAAGTCGCGGTGGTACAGCGATGCATGGGACAGGGAATTTCACAGCAGGTTGCACTGTCTCAGTACACAAATCAACGAGGCAGCCAACAGCCGAACACTGGGCAAGAACACGCTTGACGAGAGTTTCGCCGACAGTGTGGGTATGGAGAAAGCAATCCTAGCCTACCAGACCCTTCCCAAGGGACCGACGCAGTTTGGCTACACTCAAGACCAGATGTTCTTTGTAGCCGGCTGTTTCGGATTCTGCTCTTCTCGTGGTTATACAGTTATCCCAGCCTCAATATACCCACCTCCTGCGTTGCGCTGCAATCTGCCGGCCATGAACCTTCGGGAGTTTGGTTTTGCTTTTAAGTGCGCCCAGGGTGCGCCGATGAACCCAATAAGGCGCTGCAGCTTCTATTCCTAAACTTTGAAGAATAATCGGACCTCTCCACGCCCTTCATTTATTATTATTGTGATTCATATTCCTATATAGCGTGATGTTCCGCTCGTAGATAAAGATAAATACATATAGTGTATGTATTGTAGTCTTTCTTTATGTATACGTTGCGCGTAGTCCATTTTAAAGGGATTGTCCGGTAAAATTTTTAATCTTTCGCGCACAAGTAATTTATTTTTAAACGAAGTCCAACTGCTCAGATTGCACCTGCAAAATAGAGCGCATTTTTGTTGCTCTGACTGAACATCAGGTAAAATAGAGCCTTCTCAGTTTATGACTCCTGTCTCAGTAAAATAACTTCGTTCTAAGAAAGACACGATTTACAATATTGAGGGAAGCTCAATTCTTCGACAATGATCTTTGTACGCACCATCAACCATGTTGATCAAAACCGGAAATAAATCAACGCCCGCAACTCTGACGTTACCATGCATGATGTGACGTCACGACATGTCCAGCCATGCATACTTGAGACATTTCGCGTGTAGTTTCCTATTGATGTTTATAATTGATTGAACCAATATTGTGGCGTCTTTTAATTAAATACATATCACACATAACAATATTTAGGCCCTATCTACGTTACCAGAGCAAAAACTCCGTAACTTCCTGATTTCATTGTAAAAAGAACCGGAAAAAAAGGCGACAGCACACAGAACGCTGAAACTTTCACCGAATGTTCCCTGAGGTTGTTAATTTTACTTTGTGAAATTTCAAGGCGAACTTCGCTTCCTGTCAAAAATTATGAACCATTCCACTCTGTGAAGGTGAATGATCAGTGAAGCTGTTTAGCTCACGACACAGAAGTGACAGAATTTTAAACAAAGGTACGAAAACATGTATTGTCTTGATCGGTGGTCATCATGACGAAAGGTACGCACACACATGTTGAGGACTATCGCCGCTCCGAGGAGCCGGAGCAAACTAGACATTAAAGCCCCTCTATCCTGGGAAAAGTGGCGCCATTAATTGTTGTAGAAATGCTCGAGGTACGTGCCGCGCGCCACTTCTGGGAAATTCATGGCGTCTAAAATCTAGCTCAGTGCTGCGCTGTGCCGCCATGATCTTCCCAAGAGCTGCACGTTGCACGTGCCTTGTGCATCGACGAACCTTGAGCTACTTTCGAAACATGAAGGGGTGGGAAGGGGGATAGTCCTACGCTTTCATAAAGACAGGGATTGTAACAGCAAGGCAGGAATTAAGCCAGGAGAAGGATAAGCTCTAAAAATGCTAGCAAAGAGTCCTCCCAAAGTTACAGCCTTTTTCTGAACGCGGTTCTTAGTAAGGTGAAGAAAAGTAAAGATATGAACAACCACAAGAATGGTAAAAGAGGTTCTTCGTGTCCCTTTCGGCCTTTCCTTTTGAACTTCAGTCATATCCGATTGCAGCGCTTGGGTAATCTACTCGCGTATTTGTTTAACGTAAACTCCGGATTTATTATATTGACTTCGGCGCTTAGTAAAAAAATGCGTCCAATGTGCGTATGCTAAAACCACAAGATGTGATTTTCTGCGATAAAACTATAGGTAGAGGGACCTCTTTTTGTTATTTGTAACATATTCAACAGTATGATACTACGCACTTTGAACTACATGCAAGAGCATCGCAATTTCATTTTTTTTCCTTCTTTTACTTGAAAATATATCATCCTGGTGTCACACAAGTCGGTACCACTCAATGCAGAAGAATCTTCAAAAGCATTTAACATACATTACTGAGTATTTGCATACTACTCAAGATATTTTGCAGGGAAAGTCACTTGAGTAGTATTCTAAATACGTTTAAAGCAGGTGTTTAGTAACTTATCTCAAATACTTTTGCCGAGTAGTTTGTCCAACACTGCTCTAGATCTCCGCATACGGCGCTTAAAACCAAACCAGAAGGGAAACATAATCGCCTCAAAGCACGCTGTATAGTGTGAGCCCGCGGCATGAAGCTTGCATCTTCAATGTTCTCCTAATCAGAATATAAAAAGGCAAGTCAATCTCTGTTGAGTCATAATTTTTATTCGCTGCTCTGGTATTTGCGCTGTTTCGCTTTATAAAATCTCAGAAAACAAGGTTTAGTCCGAATCTATATTTGTCATGAAATTAACGATTGGTGTATTTGTCCTCTGTATATGTATATTGGTGTAAAGTAACGATTGGCTATATTTGTCCTCTGCGGATGCTGTCTGGGAAGGCGGGGCCGGCATAGAAATATGTGTGTCGTCATGCATGATAACAGCTTTCTGAACTTCACTTACGTGGACGGTATCAAATTTCGATCAACTTCCTCCTTGCCGTCGGCCTGCGTGTTGCGGCGACAGGCGGGGAGCAAATTTCGCGCTGCTCCTAACTTCCGTAGAACGACGATAATGGTGATGATGATCATTCGCGCAATGTTGGGAAGTAGTTGAAGTACATTCTACTTGAAGTAGTACCTCAAGTAGGTTTAAGAAACTTTTACTTTACTTGAAGTACATTCTCCGAGTATGTACTCGTACCTTACTTAAAATATTTTTTTCTGGTACTTTCCGAGGAAAGTTGAATTCCCGACTTCAAAATACATTCCCCAAATTTTGTGTTGTTAAATTTGTATAAAAAATTATGCTTTGTTAACTCCGAAGAAAAACTGGGAGAGATATTCTACTCTCACCAGAAACGTGAGCAGACGACACATCTTTCCGTTTGTTCTGGGGGCGGTTTTCCCGTAGCTTTTTGAACTATCACTACTTCTCGGTCAGTCAGCGCAAGCTACGAGGTTTAAAAGATTAGGAGAGTAGAAATAATCGTCATGTAGCACCTCAGACTGTGTTGGGGAAAAATTAAATTTTCGAGTCGAAGTAAAAGACAACAGAGGAGAACGTCACAATGTTTTGAGACATTCTCTTTTGTCTTTTCCTTCTATTTGAAAGTTCCTTAATTTGTTAGCACCCCAATTTCAGGTGTCACATTATAATTAATTATCACCAGCTCGCTCGCACACTCACTGTTGTTGTTTTTTGTTTTTTTTTCATTAAGCAGAGGACACTCCTCTATGAGAGGGTTGCTTGTGGAAGCTACGGGGCTGACGTCATGCTCTTTCCTAGTGCGTTTAACTCCTTTGGGTGCAACAATCTATTGCAAGGGGTGAAAATTCAGAAGAGGCACTTCTGAATTGGGCGCCATTCCTGAAAATAATTACTCTGTGGCCACTTGATTTTATCAAATATTCAACGGTGTTTTTAAAAATAGGTCATGCACCCATGATTATCCCTGGGCAGGGATGGGCAGTATTTCATATACAAGTATTTGAAATACGTATTGCAAATACTTTGTGTATTTTGCGTTTGTATTTAATTACAAATTGGGTAATGTAGTTGATGTGTGTATTTAAATACTAAAACGTGGGTATTTCAAATACAATTGTAATTAAATACAATTTTGTGGGAGAAAATACATCCCTCAAATTTATTGTCACTATCCAGGGCAGGAAGGAAACTACGTTCTGCACCGAATGCAGTGTCTCTCAATCAAGCAGAAGCGTTTCGTGACTTTGTGATTACGGTGCTAGTCCAGGGCAAGAATAGTGACGAAATCGACGTTCACAGGCAGACTGGCTAAATAAGTCCCTGTGACAACTTTTGATGTTTTCCAGCCTGATTTCCATCCACATTTTTGCCTCGAACATTCTAAATGCGTGGGTCGTCCAGATTTTCGTAACTGGTGCGAGTTGCAACAATAAAAAATTCTCTAACTAGCGCTGCGCGTCTTAGTCGTCTCGGTTCTTTGTTGGTCTATTAGCCCCGTGCGCAACTGAAAGCGTCGCTATGGTCGGCCTTCCACGATTGGCCGAACGCTGACTATGACGTAGGAAAGAGGATTTATCATCGACCGAAATGAGAGGAATGAAAGAACTTTAATTTCGACGGTGTTGGCAGTGTTCCTTTGAGAGCGCAATGATTTCAGGCTTCCACCATGCTATTTACAAACACCATCGAACTTGTTGTTCGCAAGGTAATGACGTCACAAGGGGGAACCATAGGAGGGCGCCACCAAAACATCTCGCCGCTAATACCAAAATGTAATCGACAAAAAAAAGCTGCTTGGAGCTCTGTACTTTTTTCACCTATTACGTCCGAGCTGATTACATTTTTTTGGGATAATATTTCTATTACGTTACTAGAGCCTCACACACTAACTCCCGAGTGTGTGATGCAAAATTAAAATGAGATACCCAGAAACCCGTTGCAGGTGCCCTGAAGTCACTGACGCAAATTTTGAGGAATGTATTTGGAAAAGTATTTGGAGGAGACAAAAAATATTTGGTTGTATTTGTATCTTGTACTTAAAGGCTTTTTCTGGAAATGTAATTAAATTTGTAATCAAATACATTTTTGACGAAGTATTTTGTATTTGGATTTGGATACATATTTGCATGTATTTTGCCCATCCCTGCCCCTGGGCAATGCATACCAGTTAAAAAATCACTGTATATGGGAATTAAAGGGCATCATGAAAGATTGTGTTAACATACTTGTACGTTACTTTGAAAGTACATTGTATTTATAGTACTTTACTTCAAGTACATTGCTTCCAGTGTACTTAATACTTTACTTAAAGTACATCACGTCTCATTTACTTTGTACTTTACTTGAAGCACCTTTTAGATGTACTTTACCCAACACTGCATTCGCGGCTATAATCTTTGTATCGTTGTTGTTGTTGATGATGGTGATGCGACTCTTTTTTGTTTGAAAAGGTCTTTAATAATAATAAGATGAAAGAAACATCAGGGCCAGGTCAGCTGGGCTTAAGCCGTCGGTGATGTCCTGGGGTGGGGGATGGGGATTAAATGAAGTGAGTCAGGTGATCCTCCTTAATGAACCGAAGGAGGGAGTCGAATAGTTATTTTCGATGCTTGGGTGAGCCGGATGGTCTGGTCCATTCCGCCAAGCTGTTGGGTTTTTGATCCTCGGGAATGGTCTGTAAAACTTATTTTTTCTC